TCCTCTTCCTCTTCCTCTTCCTCTTCCTCTTCCTCTTCCTCTTCCTCTTCCTCTTCCTCTTCCTCTTCCTCTTCCTCTTCCTCTTCCTCTTCCTCGACTTCTTCGAACTTCTTCTTTTTCAAAGTTTTTTTTGACACCTTTCTGTCGTAGGTTTTTTCTTTTTCTTCTTTCTCTTCCTGTTTTTCGTCTTCTTTTTCGATTTCCTTTTTCTTCTCCTTCTCCTTTTTCATTTCTGTCCTTTTTCAGAAGCCTTCTTTCTTTTCTTCAATCTACATTATTTTTTTGACCAGTTGTTATCGCAGGCAGTGTGGCTTCCAAATTCACTCACTCTAGGGAAAAACTTTCCTATCACCATTTCATTGATTGACTGACTGGTTGACATTCAGCTATTCATTTATTTATTATAATTCTACTGTTTAAATGGATTCTGATCTTTTATTTCAGTATTGGCTGAAATGGGGGAAAGTCGTCATAAAGTACCTGATAATAAAAACGTACCATCGACTAACGGTAGGTACACTCGTTAATCGAAGTATTATTAGTTACACTGGCTTGAATTTTTAAGATTGGTCGCGGAAAGTCTAATAATTTTTAATGCAAAAGAAAAAATGCGCAATTTTAAAAGTCTGTGTATGTTGCTTAACTCATAACTCGGGGGAACACAAATCCCTGTGACAGCGGCACCCACAAGGTCATGGCACGACACGTCGTGGCCAGATCAATAACTCCGTGCGAGAACTTACACTCCATCTAATCAAGTGCGTGCCCAAAAACGGCATGAACAAGGCGCGGACACGGTCACGCCAGACCAGTCACATTGCTTTAGAAAAAAATCAGCCAATGTTAATTCTAGAAAATATCACGGACAAGGCACGGCACAGTTCACCTAATCTAGATATTGTGATGTAACTTCGGGTCTATAGATAAATTATAAAACATTAATTTAAGAGATTTAGTATCACTTATATTGTCAATGCATGCTTTTAATGACAAAAAATCGCAATTTCTGAAAATTTCTTAGATTTTTGCCATCCAAACCCATGTAAAAATGATGGGATTTGTACTTCGCATGAGACTGGCTTCCATTGCCATTGTAAGAACGACTTTACGGGAGCAAGATGCGAAGAAAGTAAGTCATGTCTGAATGATCTATATATAGACATTACCACATATATAGCTTATATATATTTTCACATTAGACATTTTTTTCTCTTTTTCTAGAGAAAGATATCCTCACAACACAAAACGGTAAGTTGGTTGACTGGTAGCACCCACTGAAAGCATCATTTATTGATTTAATAGCTTTAATCAATCTCGCGTCGTGATTGGCTGGAAGCGTGTACTATGTAACTGCACACAAAACGTGCGCAATTTATGCACTTCTGCAATGAAAATAAAGTAACATAGGATGTAAGTTGGATGTTTGAACTAAATTTTACTATTTCAATATCATCGTTTGTGATTGAATTAACAGCAGAAGAGATGTTGCTTTGCAAGTTCAAAGCGAGTAATAGAAAACTTTTTTCGGCCCATTTCGCTAAACCATATATGCCAATTAATCAACATTTTATCACTCTATTTTGCAAATGCGGACTGTAGCAAGCTTAGATCACAGGGATCTCGAGTATCTAAATAGACCCCCTCGGCTCAGACGTAATGTTTTCCATTTCAAACCACGTGAAATTCTCTAGAGTATCATTTCTTTGTTTAATGGTAGCACAAGTCAAACAAATAATCTTTTATCAAGGGAATGACATGTTGTCTGAAATGGGGAAAGCTTGAACCAAGGAGGCGCATAATTTGTGGTATCTAATCACAGTATTTTCACATCTGTTAGATTATTGTTCACCTTCACCCTGCAAGAACAGTGGAGTCTGTGTCCAAGAGGGCCAGGGATACAGATGCGCATGTAAAGCAGGATTTACAGGGTTCCACTGTCAAGGTAAGTAAACTGTTACCATGGTCATATACGTTTTAGGATTAGGATATTTCATATTGAAAGGGCACATGGTCATTTTCCATGATGCATGCCCGTCTGTGCATACCTGTGCTTTATAACAGTGCAAAGCATGCATTCGTGTATTCTTTTTCTCATGTCCTAGTTATATTGCTTACTAAAGCATCTCTCTGTTCTGATGCTTCGTGCTTTATATCTGCATATAACATGTGCGCGCGTTTCCTTATTCTGTATTCGTACTCATCTTGCGTCAGTACGTATCTGGTTTTCTGCCAATCCATATTCTTCGCAACTTCCCACAACACATGTGCTCAATCTATTTTTCTTTATTTTCACTCACCTTGCTTCTCGTAACAGTTTATCTCTGGTTTTCTTCGCAAACTCACGAAAAAACGTGCGCGCGTTTGTTTTTTTTTTTTTTGTTCTAACTCGTCGTACTTCTTCTAACATTTCTCTCGTGTTTTGTCACTCCGCGTGCTTTACGACTTTACGTGCACGCGTTTTCTATTTTTTCAATAGTAGCATGATCAATAAGATTTTGTTTATGCTACTATTGCATACTTGTATTGCATACTTAGGCATGAATTTTGCCATGTGTACAGTCTAGTGTATCAAAAGCGTTATCTCATTTCTTTTTCAGTCGATCCCTGTCAATCAAATCCCTGTAATGATAATGGCAAGTGCATAAGAGACAAAAAGGCAGACACTGGATACAGGTGTCGATGCCTTCATGGCTTTGTAGGAAAGAACTGTGATGGTAAGTTTCATACTATTAATATGAACAATATATTATCCCCATGTATTATCTCATTGAGAAAGAAAGTTAGTTTATGTGTCTTTAGGCTTGCAAGTAAATAAATAAATTGGATAAATGGGAATTAACAGTAGTTAGATCCACAGAGTGGCTCTTCTTTCACTGCTACGAGCAGCCAAAAGATTGTGTTATAACCCCTGTTACTCTGTACGATTTTTTAGCAACTTGTTTCGCAGCGGTGTTGCAAGACAAGTTGCGGGGAAAATTGCATAACAGGGGCTTTATGGTATGTAATTTCTTCCATACAGAAAACTACTGCCTTCCCAATCCTTGCAGTAATAATGGCATATGTGTATCTATACCTGACAAGGGTTATCAGTGCAAGTGTCGTGATGGTTTTACTGGGGCTCGATGTGAAAGTAAGTAGTGCTTATTTATGTCGCTTCTGAATTACCCGCAACCAACTGGAGACCAAGTGCAAGGGGTATAAATAAAGGGCATCAATGGAAAMTATAGTTAAGAAGAGTCCTTTTTACGGCTTGCAACAATTGTACAATTGTACTAAGCCTTATGTGTATCTCATGTGGATGCAGTAATGAGAAACAAATATTAAGACTTTATGCGTACGTTTTCCCAACCAAATCATTTCTCACTCTAGCTTGGCCAACGTTTACTTCCATGGTCGCTTGCAATTGAGAACAGCTTTAAAATTTTATTAACTTCAAATGGAATGGAACAAATGGATTTCTATGCTTATTCATGTTGTTCATTTAATATTTATATGCGCATATGAGCACGTTCGATTCAATTTCTTATGTCAAAAGAAATGGACCATCATGCTATCGAATAACAATTGCAACATTTCTAGCTTAACATCCATGAATAGCAATCAGTCGTTTTCGATCCCTGATGTCGAAACATTCCATATAATAACGAGGTGTTTCTTTTTTGGCTTGCTTCCGCAGGAAGCCCATGCAGTCCAAATCCATGTAAAAATGGCGGAACTTGTCTCGTATTTTACACTGTTTACTTGTGCAAATGCCCCAAGGATTACAGAGGAACTCAATGCGAAGGTTTGTAAAAATATATATGTTCCGCTAAGCCTAAAATTTATTTTTCAGTGCTTATCATCAAAGAAGCGCATGTTTTCAGAAATGTTTTGTCTTCGTCCTATATTGGTATTATATGATTTTGTTTGTTGGACAATGTTTTCTGCTTATTATTGCTTCGTAATTTCATTGACACAAAAAACATTTTCTTACGAATTAGTTACTACAGTACCGGTACAGTACCAGTAGTTGTTTAGCAACTACTAGCACTCGATTCACTTGTTACTGTGCAAACAAAACGAAAAAAAGAGACAAGTTTCAAAGACCATTCCATTGTAGCAATTTCTTTTTTTTTTTTTTTTATAGCCTCGCTTGCTAACAGACCTGCTGCTCACGTGGTCGCTGCTCAAGACATCACTGCAACAAGAAAAGCAGAAACAAGTAAACCTTCAGATCACGCTCTGCCTTCTTCTCACATCCTCAATAAAAGTAAGTGAAATATTGATGGGTCTTGATTATGAAAACGACTTGATTTAACCCATGAATCAGATATTGATAATAATGAGGTAAGTACCACCAGCTGATCTAAGAAAAAAATGTAAGCCAATCAGAATTGAGAAAATTTGCAAAACTTAGGCGTCACTTTTTCTCTTAAAATCAAGCGGATTTTCAGGTCACTAATCATACAAAAAGATAACCTTGCTAATACGTGCTTGATAATAGTGACACAATAAATCATGAGTTTTATATTTCTGGTGGCTTCATGACACCCTGGTTTTGCAGTGACGTCATTCCTACGTCACTTTTTAAGATCAGCTGGGAGTATTAGTGATAATAGATGCTGATTCTACGATTCAGTAAATACATATACTGCATGTGCATATTGCAGAGTGTTTGCATTTTTAGCATGTTTGCAAGAGTCTCGTATGTTTGTGCATGGGTRTTGAGGTGGTTACCATCTTCGAATGATATCGAAGAAAACTTATTCAAAGAACATCGTCCACCCACTTTGAGCTTTGAATTGCAAATGCATGTTAAAAAATGCGGGGGTTGAGATGGTACGAGAAAACTGTGTCTGTGCATGCATGCTAGCATGTAAGAATATACCAAAATATAAAGTATGCAGATATTGAAACTTGATCTTACGAAATTATACGTACCACCAAAGCCGTTCATTTCCATACTCGAAAGGAAAAACAGCATTTTATTCATTAGTAGAATTTTTGACAGCAAACACGCATGCGCAAATCTCTACACGAAATCATACTTCATATTATCGTCGAGGACCCGGTTGTACCAAGGGTGGGTATCAAACTGATGAATCCTTATCTATTGGATACATTTATTGGATAACAACACCTTATCTACTGGATAAGGATTTATCTATTGGATATTGCTATCCACCCTTCCTACGACCGGACCCAGGTGTACATGCATGAATGCCTATTGCACAAATCGTTATGACAGTTACTTTAGATGAGATGCAGGGGGAGGGAATTGTATGCCTTATGCTGTGTAGACTGTAACTGAACGAAATACAGTACAGTTAAACTGACACGACTGACACTTGCATGTATTGAATCAGCATCTGGATGCAAACCCGACCCGTGTAAGAACAATGCTGTGTGCCTTGACACCATTGATGGTGGCTATGAATGCTTTTGCCGTGGTGACTACTCTGGATCCAAATGCGAAGGTTTGACATATGACTAACGGACAGACAGAGATATAGACAGACAGACCGACTGACAAACAGACAAAAAAAAAACCAGAAAAACACAGAAAAACAAAACGAAAAAATGATATACGAATAACCAAACAAACAGTGACTAACTATGTAGCTATGATTACTTTAGTTGACATAAAACTGAAAACACAGACAGATAGACGCACAGAAATTAAAGACAGACAAACAGACAGACAGACAGACAGACAGACATAAACATACTGATGCACTAACCAACCAGCCAATGGTCAACAAACAAACAAAATTCAACCTCAAAAAAGACCGAGAAAATAATTAAGAACTGTGAAAAAATGAACAGTGACTCATAACTGAACTGCACAATACGATCAACAAACATGCAAGCGGAGCGAAACAAAGAAAAAAGCTTATAAATAAAACAAAAATTACAATGAAAAGAAAATAATTGGAGCAAAATGACAGGAACTGTTCTCTCACATGGTTGAGCTAATTGCACATAAAAATAAAAATACCAAGAAATATGTACTAATTAAAGCTTACCTTTTGCTTGTAGATATTGGTGTTTATACGTATTCCTCTGCTCCCAAGTTCTTTCCTGGAAAAGGCGGTAAGTCGAAGAACTGAATTTCTAAGAATGGCATATAAGATTCTAAAAATAGCATCAAAGAGTGCTCATGATGGGGCGCAGGGATTCCTTCTCTTAGTTCATATTCTCTTGAAATGTGTAATCACACTTATCTATCGCAAGAACCCTAGACACTTTCTAGCATATCATCATTGTACCTTATATGTTTCTTTTGGCCTTCGCAGAGGAATGCAAGCACTGTGATCGTTACGCTCATTGTGTTGCTGGTCACTGCATCTGTAAGAATGGATATGTTGGCGATGGCTTAGACTGCTGGGGTATGTATTTGACTACAACTCTAATTCTTTTTTACAGCATAGGGTTTTTCATTGCCACTGTTTTCATTGCTATGCGCTGATCGAGACAAAAGTCGTTGCAGTTGAACGGGAAATAGACAGCCATCAATCAAATAAATCGTTCCCATGTACCTTCTGACGTTACCATGAACCGTGCGTAAACGAACGAAAAACTTACTCCAGGTTAATCAGCAATGGATGGAATAGTATCAATTAAATAGATTGGCCCCTGTGCCCGGTTCAAGGTACAAAGCTAGGATTATCCAGTGGATAAGTCTATGCTGTTATCCAATAAATTTATCCACTTCATGTTGATAGCGCTTATCCATCCTTTGTACAACCGGTTCCTGTACTTTACCGCCGTTCCCATGTACTCTTATGCAATTTATAAGCTAATGTAATTTATAAACTAGCGATCGCCATTGATTTGATTGACGGTGGTGTATTGCTCATTAAACTGTCCCGAGAATTTGTCTCTAATAGCGCGCAGCATTGAAAGCTGCAGTAACTGATACGTTATTTGGCCCCTAACCTTTCCTCAAATTAAGAGCCCCTCTATTCTATAATGTAATCGTCATTCATTCATTCGCAGAGGAAACACTAGAGGACCGGGAATGGACGTGTGAGGTTAATCCATGTCAAAACGGTGGAACCTGTAAACCAGGAATCTCGAAATGCGTTTGTAGACTTGGATACATTGGCAAATATTGTGAAGGTAGGCCGGCAGCATACTCTTTTTTAGCAGCATTTTTATTAATGTATTGAATTAAACGTATTGCTGCATAAGAGGGCAACCATACTCGTTGTTTAAGAAATATGAAGCACAAACACAAGCATAAGAGTCCTTATTTTATTGTTGGTACGAACGCATCGGAACACAAACACAAGGATCAAAAAGTGAAAACCAGGGGTGGTTACCATCAAACCAATCCGTCCGGTCGAAAATTTAATTGCCAATGGTGAGAAAAGTGCGGGTAACTTTGACTTCAGAAGAATGGTACGCACGCCTACCGTAGGAGCCGAAAAGAGAAGAAAAGTGGACTCAATCGCATGACCGAGCTTTCTGGAACTTTCCGATCAGAATGGCACATACCATTCGTTTTTCCAACCGGAATTTCCGGTTTTACAGCTAAATGGAAAGTACACAGGTCTTAGCTAGTATGAAACAGTCCAATCATCTTGCATTGAAAACATGCCACTCARCTGATATGTTAATTGATAACAAACTAGTTTTCTTGAATATCTTTACGTATTTGAAATGGATAGCCACATAGCTTTGCACTGCAGTTTTAATGGCATTTCTTTACTTGCAGAGGATTGTTCTCCTTCGATTCATCTCAGCTTTGACAAAGTATCAGCGAGCACTTTATTAGATGATTCAGGAGATAGCAACAATGCCATGATCGTGAATGGGGCGCAGATTGCTCCTCACAGTGGGAAATGTGGGAACGCTGTCAATCTTCTGGGTAAGCTAGATTTGTTTCAAAGCAATATTGTCTGTGTGTTTCTGTTTGATTGTTATGAATCTGCTGCGTGATATTTTCATTCTTGGATGCAAAGATTGTTTGGACTAGAAATGAAAAAAACAAAAACTTGATCTTTGAGACTTCACCGGACGCTCTAGTAACAAGTCTTCGTCTCCAAAAAAGAAAAAAAAAAAAGAAATTCATGTTCCAACGAAAATTGTTATGCTCAAATCTGTAGTTCATTTTTGCGGTAATATCAAAGCCAGGCCGGCTTCGGAATGAATTTCAACTGCATGTACGAGTCGATTCTATTCAACTAATAAGCATCACCTCAGAATCCGAATCAACTCTCTTCTTGTCATTCGATTCGCTGATCGTTATTCTTGAGTGGTGGGTTTAGTGGATGCTCACTTGCTGCCAGTAGTGCACGGCCATTGTACCCAGAAATAACTCCTGAATGAGTAAATAGCACATCCGAGAACATAAAATTCAAAAGGTGCAACCGTCTAGACGACCTGGCCCTTGAAGCTTTCACTCGACAAAGTATTTTCATTTAAGGTTCTCTTGGATGAACCAAAATAAAAATCCTAAAGAATCCAAAGTATATCAATACGGTCTGTTTTCCCTTGCGGTATGTGGCCCAATGTTCGTGATCTTAATGCCATATTTCTTATCGAAGTTAGCACCTTTTTGTGGTCTCTAACAAACCTCTAGCTTAACTCAGGAATTCATTTTCGTAAAGAGCAGACATCTTCGAGGAAAATCGTATTTTCACGCCTTGTTGAATYGTGATGTTCTTCTATGAGTACCGAGTAACTAAAACCTTTACATTTTTCTCAAAAAAATTCAATAAGGTATGCGTATTATCGATAATAACTTCATGTTTAAATCAGGGGGAGATATCCTCATGGATGGCTCACATTTCAAACACATTCCAAGAGAAGGCATCACCATATCCATCTGGATCAAACTCGAGACCAAACTTGGTGTGCAGTCCATTTTTGACACCGTGGGAAGCCATTCGCGTCATAAAGATGGTCAATACCATCTGGAGGTGGATAATGGTAGAGTGCGCTGGTTCCATCGGGACGAGAATCGTCAGACTATCTTTAGTGTTCTGAGTAAACCAGCTGTGAGTGAAGGACGGTGGACACAGCTTACAGTTACATACAGCGCTAATAAGCAGCGTGCAAGGGTAATTAAAAATGTGTAAAAAATGAAACTTTTCTACATAGACATAGACACCATTATAAAAAGGATGCATTGTGTTATAACTTCGGTAAAAAAAAAACAAATAAAAACACCATGTAAGGCATGGTCACCTTGCTTGCAATCCTAGAAGGTTGTATGCTACGTAATCTTTTTTAATTTGCTGCTACAGCTAGTTTGGATATCCCTGTAGCTTAGAAATAGTGTAGATCTAATCCACTTTGACGTAATGCTTTCCCATTTCAAACCACATAAGTTGTGACGATAACCATGTTTCTTCTCATATGAAACATTTAGACAAAGAAATGATACTAAAGGGAATAACTGTTGGTCTTGATTGAGAAAACATTACGTCAACCGTAAAACCTTTTGGTGCCAATTCAGTTTTGGATTATCAAGTATTGACCAGGAGTGTTGTTTATGTTTTTTTTATCAAGGTGTTTGTTGATGGTGACATGATCACCGAAGAAGGCGGTCATGGATTACTCTCTCAAGACTGGTCAGGCAAAGTGGGAATAGGTAAACAAGACTTCATTTTATTCAACCTTGTTCACAGGAATTAGATCATAAAAGTCTAATCGGAATTTGCAAATCAAGAGTAGCATAGCAATAATACACTCGCCTCTCACATCTGAGGTTTAGAGTGCAATTCCTAGTCTTAGCAGCACTTAATAAAGTTTGTTAGGTCTTTCCCTTGATTTGCGGGTTTAATTTTCTACGCGTTCTCCGGTTTTCCTCCCTCCACAAAACCTAACACGTGAAATAATGGTTCCATATTTCAGTTATCCCTGCCCTGAGTTTTATCAGCCCAGATAGCTGTTTCAGGATATTTATAAAATGTGAGGGTTTTTTCTTATAAGTCGGGACATCTCTTGTACTAAATGTGTTTTGCTGTTGATTTTATAGGCAAACATCAGCATATATTTGGTAATCGTCTGTTACGAGGCATGGTGGATGAATTCTATATTTTCCCAGGAGAATTACCTCGACTTGAAATACTTGTACTCATGCGCCACTGCAAAGTGTACTTCTGTAAGTAGACTCGCTTTTAAAACAGACTTACAGTGCTTCAAACATTGCGCAAATTTTCTTTTTGTGCTTTGTAATCCCGATGTCATCCCGATAAAGTCACCGGGAAAACATTAGTCAATTTGAGTGAAAGCAGGTCACGAATCTATAGAATCGATAATAAGGCTCAAAATGTTTTTTATGTTTTTTTGTCTGCTTGTCTAACACTCGGGTAATTCCATCTTCTTCACAGCAAATTTTAAGAATAAGAAACAAAAGGATACCAAACAAGTACCTCAACTATCGTTTTCACCAAACGCACCTGTTATCAATTCCTATGCACCACCCATCGGTGGCAAACCTTTATCACCATCAAACCAAGAAGCAAACAACGATAAAGTAGCCAATAATCTTGAGGAAATTCTCGATAGTTTCGAAGAGGATAAGCCTGTCGTTCCACAGCGTTCGGCCTTGAGTCCAAGCTACCAGATACAGAAACAGCAAAGACCATTACCAATGGAATGGGGAAACCAAAGGCAATACCAGGGAACCGTTCAGCCCAATAGATATCTTCTCAATAGATACCATGGTTTTGTGCCTTCACAGACACAACCGTTCTTCAATAGAGGTCGTAAAATTCCACAATATCAAACTGGAGCGAGACAGGATGCATTACAAAGACCAGTAGGAAAGCAAACTATGTTCAACAATCCGCAGGCAGGAAATCCTGCACTTAGAAAAGTCAGCGTCAATAAAGGCTATAGATTTGAGCAGTACGGATCACAAAGACATCCAGCATTCAACCAAATGCAGATACCATTATCGTATTCAATTAACCCTCCTCGTCAGGTACCTCATGGAAGAGCATCCTCTACGGCCCAAATGCGCGGCCCCTTGACTTACATGAACGGGCTTTTGGCTCCCGCGCGACCAGTCCCCGATACCAACTTTGAAGTTAGTTCCACTAAAACTCGGATTCCAGTCAACCAATTGTCTCCCTATGCCCGCAGAAGACAATACTTGAGTCAGTATAATCCTCCCTCAAGGACAATGAAAACTGCTACAGGAGTTTTGCACAGCTGGCTTAACAGCGCTACTCCTGACCTCAATAGAACTCCATTAAGATCATCAGTTTATCCCAAAATTAATTACCCTCAGAAAGGCTGGTACAAATCAAGCCAAACAGTTCCTCGACAATCCATGCAACCATTTAATCCACGGGGTTCGACGAATTATCTCGCATACAACCGAAGATATCCTAATTTACGGCCACAACGACCTGCCGCACTCCCAAGACCTGCGCAGTCGTACCGAGGAGCACCAAGTCCATATAAGGTATCGTACACAAACTATGATAGAAAATTKGACGGTAACTATGCAAATGACAAACCACAATCATCAGTCTACGACTATACGCACGTAAGAGGCAATCCAAGGACAATGAACAATAGGGAAAATACTGGATTGGACAAGAACAGTCTATCTCTGACCGGACGGCGACCGTCTCTCCAGAAAAACAACAACAAACAAAACTACGCGACCGATTTACAAGGRTCGCTAGACTCGCTGAAACAGTCCGGCTTGATTAGAAAAGTCGATCCTAGTAAATATCTGGCTTTCAAACTGACGCCCCAATTCACATCAGACCCTAACAAAATGTACAGCAACGCTCTTGTACAACTGAATTCACAACTACGACAGCTAATGGACGACCACACGGTTGACTTCAAGCCCGAACAACTCCATTTCGTTATGGGCTTGCTGCAGAAAGGTCTTGATCAAATGGAGCAAAGCGTAGAAGGCAAGCAAGGGAAAATTATCACAGGTAAAGATAGGATACCCTACACACAACAAAGACCAGGCTTTCAGTATACACAGGCAACCCAGACGCAGCGTAAAGATGAAATCTTACGCCCAGTGCAAAACTCACAGACTGTGTACCAACTGACTTATCCTGACAAACAACTGACCAAACACAGCAATATCGACGAACGGCTGAACTATCCATACGATTCAAATTACATAACAGAGTACGGTAGACCGACGACCGACTTCACAAGATATTCGCACACTTTGACAAGGATATTTAAACGCCGTAAAAAAGACATTAATAAGATAGTTACGTTTGTGAAGCAAGAACTGAAGAAACAGAAAGAAAATGATAAGGACAGCGATAAACAGAAAGTGAAATTCTAAATTAATGAAAAAATTAAAGCTAACGATAGAAAATTATAAGTTAACGACAAAAGCAAAATGAATATAAATTCACGAAAGGAAAATGAATACTTGGAAAGCAAAAAAATTAAAGTAAATCTATGAAAGTAAGGTACATAAAGCTTGAAATACATAAGGGAAAATTGGCAAACATTTTTTAAACAACTATTTATTGTAACACTAAAAAGAAGCGAAAGTAGATGAGTACGTAACTTGGTCGAGCTTTACTGTCGTTATGATTTTTCTATTCTAAGAATAAGTCATTCTGTCTGTTAATACAGAAATCACGTTCTAATGATTGAAGAAAAAAAAACAAAGGTAACTTAAGCTAATACCAGGATTCCGTAAATTTATCCAGATAACGCGATAGAATAGATAGCTGTACACCCTAATTCACCACTTTCCATACATCAGTTCACCTATTACGTTTCAAAAGAGTTTCAAAAGTTTTTTTTTTTTTTTCAAATTTGAACCTTGAAGCCCCCATTGAATGCATTGTGTTTGACCTTTTACTGCAATTTTCGTAAACATGCGAACTCTGTGTGTGCGAGTTGCAAGCTGAAATTTATTTTTTCGCTGCCGCCAGTCAAAAATATGAAAGGTACCGACTGATTAGGTTTGATTGACGGCAGCTAAAAACAAATTTCAGCGTGCAGCTCGCAGACACAGAGTTCGCATGTTTACGAAAATTGCAGTAATCGATATATGGAAAGTCTAGAAGGGACTGTAAATATGATCATAGTAAAAATATATGAACAAAATGCTGTAAAACAAACTTTTAACTTCGATCACCATGAAGCGTTACCTTTGCTACGCAAACATCATTTAAAATCAAGAATCTCATTGTAGAGAAGTTGTTTTTGAGTTAAATAGGTGTTAGCTATTTAGGGACAAATTTGTGCCAGCAACACACAAATCCAGCAGATTTAAATGAAAGAAATGTTAATGTATATAGAATATAAATAGAGTGTAAATAGCAGCATTGTAGGTTACTTTAGAAAATTCCATTCGAAAAGTATTATATATGTAAATTGAAATATTTAAGCTTTAAGCTATCAGTTTAGCCACTTGTTGCATGCTTTGTACTTTTATAAATAGATGGTACAATAGAGTATTAGGTTAGTAAAGTTAACAGCCGAGAGGGACTGGGACTGATTTTCCGGATCATTGTGACACTAGAGAAAGATGTTTTTGCATGTTGAGATCCAGCATGTTTTCCAAGAATAGAGTCTTTGCTCCTTCACGTGCTAGCGGCCATGTTAGATGGTAGAACAATAGAATCCCTTTACGCTTGGGAGTTTAATTATTTCTTATGTAAAACGATTGTAGTGTTACTTTCATGTCATCCAATATGGCTGCCATCACGTGACGGTGTAAAACCTTCATTCAGAGAAGTTTTCCTGAGAATGTTTTAGAAATACTTGCAGGTTTTTTTTTTCGAATATACAACAAAAACTCGTGATTACACTTCTGTAAGAGCAAGAGCAAGGACAGCATTAGCCTTAAATTCTCGCCTTTTGTAAGAGGTTATAATCAGACGTTCACATCGACGGAAAGGACCTATTGGATCATAAAACAATAGAACGAGGCAGTAACTCAATGGAATGCGCAGACGTTATCGTTCTAGTGTCAATAATTAATTGTAGAACTATTTATCGGATTTGTATAAAGCAAACATCAATTTCTAGCTTGCTGTTAGAGCACTTCTAAACAAAATAATATAAAATTAAACCTAAAACCTTAAACTAGTTTTGAAAGAATGTAGGATTGTTGTAGTGTATATTGTTGTAAATAATGGCAAAATAAAATCGATGGTTGATTTTAATAATCCACTACATAGTATAGAACAAAACACTATAAAACGAAGCCAGGCAAAAACATTTGCGCATGCGTTCACTTCAGCACGTTTTCTAAGAATTTTGAAGAGTTTGAGCGAGAAAATAAATGTTTGTTTTCTTGACAAGTATACAAAAAATTTCGCGAGTATACTTTTGTCAGACCAAGATACTGTATTAACAAACACAATATGAAAGAATTACTCTTACGTTTCAAGCATGGACACTAAGTTTTGGCATTTTGTGAAGTCCAATTTATCAGGCATGTTTGAAAGTCAAATTTACGTATGTTATGAATAATTTGCATACGGATTCAGAGCATGCGCAGACGTTTTTCACTCGTGTCCTATAAAACGTGATACAGTGCGACTATACCAACCAAGGTTACACAGATATATTTCCATACAAATTAGCCAATCACGATTAAGTATCCAAACAATAGAATCTGTAAAAAAATTCCTTTTTTTCCCTTTAAAATCCTATATTTTATTTCATACGAGTGTGTGTATGATCAGGAGTGAACAAGAAACAATCTAAAATCCAGAACTCATTAATGCATCTGTTATGCAGCAATAAAAATGTGATTTGTGAATTTGATTTAATGTCTGTTTGGCTGGGCTTGGTTAATGTAGTTGCACTGTAAGTATTGATGATATTTATTCAGTATGTGTGAAATTAATCCTGATTGGCTAAGATGATAACGTCAACTAGATTCTGATTGGATGATTTACAAATGGTTATACTCTGATTGGATGAAGCAATTAGATGCATGCTTAGGCCATTTTTATACTACCTTCTGATTGGCTATTTTAAAAATTGTTACACTCTGATTGGATAAATCGATCTATTACATATTTAGGTATAAGGATTCTGTACAACCTTGATTAAGAACATAGTCAGATACTCGAAATAGGAAGAATGATACAAAGTTACGATTGACGACAAATGAACAGCATTTCATAGAAACGATTTTCATTTTTACTGGAAAACATACGGTACTGACTTACATTACAACGTGTATTTTTGATCAGCACGACATAACGTAACCTTGAAATGGCTTCCCATTGAAGCTGTTAAGGTATTCGGTATGATCCTGACTTGCAGTATGACCATACTAAGGAATGTCGTAACATTAAAATGGCTTCCTAATCAACTTGCCTGTATAAGTGGAAAACGCACGGTACTAACATAAGCATGGACACGAAATGGCATGTGGGAACATTGAAATGGCTTCCCATCATCTAACTCAACGCACGCGTGTTCTTACGGACACGGTACTAAATTACAACAGGTGCATTGAAATGGTTTCACAATAAAGCTGCCTGTATAAGTGGAAAACGCATGGTAATCACTTACAGCAAGGGCACGGTACAGCATGTCGTAAAATGAAATGGCTCCCCAGTACAAACTTACAGCACAAACATAGTACGACATGGAAATGGTTTCCCATTGTCTGACGCACACGTGCTTTTGCCTACGGTAACATAACAGCACTGTAGAAAGTAGGATTACCAGCAATATGCCGTACCATTCCCACTCATTCGATAACGGCTTTAAGACATAACGAGCAGTGATTGACACCATACAGCACACCGGTACTATGATAATCGTACAACTAGAACAAAGAACGACATCAATTTAAAAGTCTTACTACATGCGACTAGTGACAAAGGATTGACAGACGACATATGTTGAAGGTAAAGAATGGGCCCTTCTTAAAATTGCTTTGAATGCGAGATTAACATACAAAAGAAATGCCACAAGTTCCATTCAGGAAAAGTGAGATTTCTTGTGTATTTCCATGTTAGTCTCGCTACCGCAATACTGTTGAGAAGGGTCCATTGAAGTAAATATGACGACAACATCTTTTCTGGACAAATCTGCGACGATGATGCTTTTCTTTTAACTGCCACAAGAGCATCCTTTAGACACGTAATGTGCTAACGTTACCATGGTGGTAATTTCTGTGTTGCACTCTGCAGTACCGACAGTCAATCCCAAGGGTGTTCCAACAGATCCCTCAAAGATCTTACTTTAATCCAACCACCGAGGTTACCAGGAAAAATATACCAAGCAGTAGAAGAATAAAACTTCACCCACAGACGAAACAGGAACAGGAGGATGAGAGAGAACTAGCTGAAGCATTGGCGCTACTTTCTTTGCCAAACAACTGAATGGTCAGTTAGACGAAGAATGTGTTTCTTGGAAGATGTCTATTTTGAATAGTGGCGAGAGAGAAATTGAACCCAACCCAATTTGGGGTTGGCATGATGGTGTTTCTGATTTGATACGATGGTAAAAACAAGGCATTGAAGAACCCTTGGGACATGTTAATTTATTATTCTTTTAAGATATAGGAGGGATAAAGGAATATGTAGAGACAGAAATAGAGAGAATGTTAAAGAAAGCAAGAAATAAATAAAGAAACAAACAAACAAACAAAGAAAGTGAAACAATGTAAGTTAAAACGAAAGAAAGGAAGGAAGAAAGGAAAGAGGAACAACAAAAGCATAAGAACAGCACAAAAGAAAGCTAAAATAAAAGAAAGAGAAGAGGGGAATTAGAAAAAGAAAAGGAAAAAGAGAATGTAATCAATAATATTTCAGTTWAAAAAAAATTCTCCTCGGGGATCTTTTTAGCTTCAAAAGTTACAAATTGACACTGTCATTAATAAGTCAGAACATTATAGGGAAGACATATCATTGCTATGTC